TAGCTGCACCAGCAGTACCACGCCCACAAACCGGCGGCAGTGCCAACTGACAAGCCTGCCGACCAAGACAAGACTCGCTACCCGCCCATAGTGGCTGAATGCCTACCGGATTGGACGAGGCATTTTAAGGAGCTCAACAGAATGTTGGGCCACCCCTTGAATGCCCGTCCATTCGGGAAAGGCGTGAGGTTCACTCCACAAAGCGCGAACGACTTCAGGACAGTCCAACGCTACATGATTGAGCTGACTAAGGAAGTACCAACATTGTCGTGGTATTGCTATACCCCGGAGAAGGACAAGCCCACTAAAGTGGGCATCCGGGGTCTACCAGTGGGCACGGACACCAAACACGTAGAGGAGGCTATTAGGGCAAAAGGCTTCCCCATAAAATACGTCAAAGCAATCCCACCGCGTAGAAGCAGACCTGGCTGCATCTACTTTGCCCAGTTCGACCACCTGAGCCTGGAGCAGCTCCAAGAACTATACAAAATCGACGAACTCCTCTTTATGAGAGGAGTAGTCATCGAGGCCTGGCAAAGGAAAGCAGGACCGGCTCAATGCCACCGCTGCCAGGCCTTCGGACATGCATCCGCAAACTGCTTCAGGCCAGTGAGATGCGTGCGCTGTGCCGGGGAGCACATTGCGAGCCTATGCCCTAGGGGTAGGGAAGAGGAATCCAAATGTGCCAACTGTGGCAAGAACCACACGGCAAACGACCGCCGCTGCCCAGTCCTGAGGAGGACTGCTAGGAGGCAGGGGATTACCTTACCGGGGCTACTCCCGGAGGACCCTAAAAGGATCCCCCAGAGTCGCCCGAAAGCTGTTACCATCCAGCAAGACGGGTGGGCTACCATCACTGGGAAGGGCAGGCAACCAGCCCCCCTCACCCGTAACACCTAAAGAAACGGTGGAACCCACTGAGATAAGGGCAACCACCGGGGCGACTCTACAGCCTCCCGCCAACCCTGCCACAGAACGGCAACCCTCTAAGAAGAGGAGGCGGGAGAGGAGCAGGAAAAAGTCGCAGCCTCCTCAGGGTTACCTCTACCCCGACACCATCAGCACCAGTAGCCTCAAAGGCGCAGATTACTCGGGAGTCGACCAAAGACGTGGGCAGAGTGCCAGAAAGGGCCCTACCAGAACGTAGAGCCCGCTCTACAGTTAGAGCGCGCTCTACCCACAAGCCAAGAGGGCAGGACCAGGAACATCCACACCCGAGACAATTGCCAACGCCTTCATACAGGAGAACACCAGTCACCGGCCTCGAGACAGCAGATGCGATACAACGCTTAGTTGGTATTGCCATCGAGGTCGGCACACAAGTCCTGGCTGATATCAGAGCCGGGACTGACCCAATTACAGCAATTATGAAGGCGCTGGCAAATCTATTAGCCCGGCATTACGGAGGAGAGTAATCTGCGCCTCCTCTATTGGAACCCGGGCGGTATACAGCAGAAGCTTCATGAACTCCGCACAGTCGCCCAGCAACAGGACTTGCACATCATATTGCTGGGCGAGACAAAACTAAATCCAAAGACGCATATCAAGCTGCCTAATTACCACCTATACAGAAGGGACGAGGTCACCCCTCAAGGGGCCGCCTATAGAGGGACGGCGGTTCTTGTGAGGAGGGACATCGTCCACCAAGAGCTGGAATTACCACCTTTCCAGACTATGCGCTCTATCGGCATAAGAATGGAGGCGGCGGGCGAGGAACTAAGGATCTACGCAGCATACCGCCCGCCAGGGACTCCATTCTGCTCCTCAGACATCCGGACAGTGATGGAAGGCGAAACACCTACTATAATCGCCGGGGACCTAAACGCCAAACACCCGGCGTGGGGGTCCAGAGTGATCACCCCGCCGGGTCTTGCACTATACGAAGACTCAGAGAGAAACAACTACGACGTTTTAGGTCCCGAAGAACCAACCAACGTTCCGACAGATCCGAAGCAACATCCGGATGTATTAGACATCGTGCTCTCTAGGAACGTCAACTACCCGGTAGTGGTAGAGGTGCTATACGACCTGAGCTCACAGCGCCTCCCGATTCTGATAACCCTTGGCACTAAGGCGGTGACTACGCCGCCCAGAGCTTTTAAGACACGCATTGACTGGAGGCGCTACGCACAACACCTGCGGGCGAGACCTCCAGCAGACCAACTTATAAACACAGCGGACGACGTAGAGGCCGCTGCAACCAGAATCACCAAAAACATCCAGGAGGCCCTCCACGCGGCCTCAACGATCGTCCCGATCACAGAAAGGCGTGACGATCTGCCGCAGGAAATATGCGTTAAGATAAAACGCAAAAGAGCACTTAGGAGGCTCTGGGCGCGTACTCGCTGCCCAAGACTAAAAGCACAACTTAACATCTTATCGGAGGAGCTGTCGGTGGCAGTCCGGGCATACAGAGGAGAAGCCTGGGAGCGGCGTATATGGAAGGCGGAGGAACAAAATGCGTCGCTCTATAAACTGAACCGACAGCTAACCAAAACCAGACCTCCCGTTTGCCCGCTTACCAACAGTGCGGGCGAACGCTGCTATGATGCCAAGAGCAGAGCGGATATCCTAGGAGAGCACTTCGAGGAGCAATTTATGCCGAACCCTGCAAGTGCGGAGTACATGGAGCTTCATGCCTTAAAGGAGAGTCGCGTACAGGAGTTCCTGTCGTCGCCCGCGCCGCCTCTTGCAGGAGAGTGGTTCATCTCCCCCCGCTGAACTGCGGAGGACAGTAACCCTCCTGCAACCGAGGAAGGCGCCTGGGCACGATGGGATTACCAACGCTGCACTCCGACAGCTGCCCTATAAAGTCCTAGTAGAGATTGGTCGACTCTACAATGGGATATTGCGGACATCGCACTTCCCGGAGGAATGGAAAAAAGGCAAAATCATCGTCATGCCGAAACCCGGGAAGGACAGGCGTAGAGCTGCCAGCTACAGGCCGATTACGCTATTACCGCACATAGCTAAACTGTTTGAAAGATTGCTGCTAAGACGTCTCCGTCCGTGCATCCAACTTCGGGCGGAGCAGCACGGATTCAGGAGGGGTCACTCTACAGTCACACAGCTGACTAGAGTGCTGCACCTGCTTGCGGCAGAGTACAATCGTGGCCGCATATCGTTGGGCGTCTTTCTCGACATCGAGAAGGCGTTCGACCGGGTGTGGCACTCAGGATTACTATATAAGTTACACGAACAGACCCCCTGCCAGTGTCCCCCCTGCTATGTTGCGGTTAATGGCGTCTTTCCTGGAAGACAAGAAGTTCTACGTCTGCGTAGAGGACGCCGAGTCCGCAACAAGAACCATCAGTGCCGGCGTCCCACAGGGCAGTTGTCTGTCTCCAGTCCTGTACGCGGCTTACACGAATGACATCCCAACATTGGCAGGCAGGCTGCAAGAATGGGAGGACGACGTTGAGCTGGCGCTATACGCGGACGATAGCGCCTATTTCACCTTGTCCGGAAGAGCCCATATAGCCACTGCCAAAATGCAGCGTCTGCTGGACCTGTTGCCATCATGGCTGAACGAGTGGAGGATGGTCGTCAACGTTGGTAAGACGACCGCTCTGCTCACTCTGAAACCGCCTCAGAAACTTACCACCACCACTAACTCTCGACGGCCAGAAGATCGCGTACGAGAAGGCCGTGACATACCTCGGGTGCCGGATCGACCGGGCGCTGCGCATGACTGCGCACGTCGACTTCGTCGTCCGCAAAGCCAGATGTGCGCGGGCGATGCTTCGTCCGGTCCTGGTATCCAAGCTGCCCAAGCTCCGGATATACAAGATGTATATCCGGACTATTACCACCTACGCTGCTCCGGCCTAGTACGCGCTTCTGAGCGACACCCAGAGGTGGCGACTACAGCCTCAGCAGAACCTGTCATTAAGGACGATTGTCGGAGCAGGTCGTTACGTCCGGAATGACGTTATAGCGGCCGATCTGAAAGTCGAGACCATCACCGACTTCGTGGCCCGGTTAGCGCGCGGCATGTTTGACCGTGCTGATAACGGGCCACATGAACACCTGAACGGCTTTGCGCCGTTACACACCCGGCCACCGGACGGGCGACCTCTTCCAAGAGAACTCCTCTCTATATGTGATTAGAGAGTCGAGTAACAACCCACAATGCCGCAGAAAGGCCAACTTAGACTTATAGATTACCTCTACAGATTACTTCCCTTTCCGTAGTCGGTGAACTAGGGAAAGTAATTTCTTATTACTACATTATAAATGTAGTATAGCCATGCCAAGATAGGCAAAAAGTGACTGCCCCATAGTTAAGGGGTATGAGGATATCCAGGCAATAGGGTACACCCCGAGGCCCGATACCTGCACGTACCTAGGTGCGTGTAGATGACATCAACTTACTTTATACAAATCCCATAGTTCGCCGCGGACCGTGCTACCGAACGGACGTGCCTTAATCGCGCTCCCGTGCTGTGTTAAGTGTACGTACTGTGAAGTTTACGTGTTGCCAGTTGACGATTCCGCTAAACGTTGAGCTCGCTCCGTGAAGCGTTGAGCCGTCACTGGCATTCTCCGCGTCGAATTATGAGGTAAGAGAGCACAAAGATCTCAACCTTTGTTGCCCTTATTTTTGTGCAATCTACCCACTTTGCTATCAACTTTTATTCTTTTTAAAAGTGTTTTTAGCAAGCCTCTGTTAACGCCCAATCCATCTGCGCCTCACACACCCCTCCCCGCTCGCGGGCGCCTCGCTGGGCCTCCCCCACGGGTCTCACCTGGTGTGGTTGTACGCGCCGAGGGGAGTAAGGTGTGTGATAGCTAGCAAGGGCAAATTTTTATCTCCTACCCACTTTTTAAAAAAAGCTTTAAAAAGTTTTAAATTTTTAAACCTACCCTTATTTTATAAACCTTTTTATAACTACCCTTTTTTAATACCGAAACTACCCACGTTATGTCGAAAAGGGGAACCACCCCCGACTCAACGTAAGCCACCTGACAAACGAACGAGTATACTAGACAGGCCATTCATGGAGCGTAACCTCTTCGCTCCGGAGAAATCAAGGGTACTGCCTACATACAACCAAATGTCAAAAGATAAAAGAGGTCCATCAACCGCTGGCGTCGTACCCGGCGCTAGTGGAGCTGAACCTCCAACCAACACCGAACCGGCACGACAACCTCGCCGAAACATCGCCTCAAGAAAGCGCACCCCCCCAAAAATAGAAGAGGAAGACCTACAGGAAGAGAAAAGGCTGAAGACCACTTCGGGCACGATACCAGAGTCGACATCAGCCTCATCTCCCACACACACTTCGGAAAACACACACACTCCACCACAAAAACAGCCGGTAACGAGACACAACTCGCCCCCGGAATCACCATCTCCCACTACCTCCCCGACCTGCATGCATTATGAGCTGCAAGATCTCGGGGAACAAGACCCAAAAGAGAATGAAGTTAAATCCAACCCTACTCCTGGACCATCCTCGGCGCCAATCAGCTATGCACGGATAGCTGCCGCGCCTAGAACAACCCCACCTTCACCTCCACCTGCTGCAAGGCCGCAACAGCCTGCAGCAGTACAAACAAAATACCCCCCTATAATAGTAGAATGCTTCCCAAATTGGGCGAGGCACTTCAAAATTCTCCACCAACTTCTCGGCCATGCTCCAAATGCCCGCCCATTTGGGAAAGGAGTCAGATTCCGACCCCAATCAGATATCGAATACAGAACTACCCAAAAATACCTAATAGAGCGTAGCAAAGAGGACCCCACCTTTGCGTGGTACTGCTACGCTCCCCAAGAAGAGCAGCCAACAAAGGTGGGGCTCAGAGGGCTCCCAGCAGACACAGAGCCACAGGACATAATGGAAGCCCTCATAGAGAAAGGCTTCCCGGTGACGTTTGTGCGCTCAATCCCCCCCAAAAGAGGCAGACCAGGCTGCCTCTTCCACATAAAACTGAGACACCTCCCCCCGGACGAGCTTAAGAGACTATATGAAATAGACGAGCTGCTGTACATGCCCGGCATCTCAATAGAGGGCTGGCAAGAAAAAGCCGGCCCTCCCCAAAGCCATAGATGCCAGGGATTCGGGCATGCGTCTTACAACTGCTATAGACAAATTAAATGCGTCCGCTGCGCAGGTGATCACGCCGCAGCAGAATGCCCCAAGCCGCGTGATGAGCAGCCGAAATGCGCAAATTGCGTCAAGGCTCATGCGGCTAATGACAGACGGTGCCCTGTGCTGCAGCGAATTGCGCGCAAGAGGGGTATAACCCTACACCCCCCAATACCCATGCAAGCAGCACGGGCCCCGAAACCGCAACCACAACAACATAATCCCCAACAGCAACCGCAAATACACACCCAGCCGCAGCGGGCGCAGCAGCCACAACAGCCACAGCAACAGCAACAGCTGCAAAGACAACAACTTCCTACACCCACATACGCGCCAACGGTCGCCATAACAGGGGCGACCTTGGCCGTACCGGCGAACAATCCTATTGAGCGCACAGAACGCCCAAAGAAAAAGAGGAAGGGGAGGAAGAAGAAAAAGAAGACGACCACACTGGACGTTGTAACAGAAGGCACGTCTATCCCACTACCCTTCCCCCCCCCACCGCCACCACGCAGCAATGGCCACAGCAGCCGCGCCAAGCGACCTTCCCCACCCAGACGCAGAGAATGCAAACCACCAGCAACCACCACCAACCCCGAGAACCACTCCAAAGAAGGACAATAGAATCCATCTCCCTAACACAAATACACAATACACCACCCACTGTAGAAGAGGCCCTCGCACAGCTAGTGGGTGTGATCATCAAAATCTTAGGAGAAGTACTAACCGCCATAACCACTGGTACCAACCCGTTAGCAGCAACCCTTACTGCCCTAGCCCAACTGTCTAACTTTAATAGAGGGCAGGGAAATTAAAATAGTCTATTGGAACCCCGGCGGCATAACAGGGAAGGTCGCCGAACTGCGCACGTTAGTCCAGCAGTACAAAGTCCAGATTGTACTGCTGGGAGAAACTAAACTGCTCCCCTCTGCAAAACTAAAGCTCCCCAACTTCTTCGTGTATCGCCACGACGAGATCTCCCCAGAGGGTATCGCATACAGAGGTACAGCGGCCCTTGTGAGGAGGGACGTCATGCACGAGGAAGTTGACACTATACACGACTTCGTGTCCATGAGGACCAAGGGTATAAGGATGAGGGTGGGAACCACGTATATGAGGTTCTTCGCCGCTTACCGACCTCCAGGTACCTCATTAGCTCCCCAGGATTTAAGTACTATATTTAATGCATCAACACCTGCAATTATCGCCGGAGACCTCAATGCAAAACATCCGGCTTGGGGCTCCGCGATAATCACACCTCCTGGTAAGAAACTCTTCGAATACGCTGAAGAGTGGGGATATGAGGTACTGGGTCCAGATGAGCCCACCCACATCCCCTCCAATCCCAATCACCAACCCGATGTCCTGGACATTGTGTTGTGTCATCAAGTGCCGTTCATAATACGGCTAGAGGTGCTGTACGATCTGGACACGCAGCACCTTCCCGTGTTGTTCACCATAGATACCGATGCAGATGCAATAGTGCCCAAACCACCAAAAATGCGAATAAATTGGACAAAATACCAAAAAGCACTAGAGGACCTCGGACTCGGCGCCTCCATAACCACCCGAGAAGACGTGGAGACAGCGGCACAGCTGCTACACGACTCCTTAAACAAACAACTTAAACTCTCCTCACTCCCTGTCTCCACGAAGCGCCGGGGGGAGGAAATCCCTCATGAAATTCAAATTCAGCTATCCAATAAAAGAAGGCTGAAAAAGCTATGGGCACAAACACGATGCCCACTCATCAAAACCCAGCTAAACAAAATAACAGAGGAGCTGTCGGTAGCGATTAGAGCGCACAGGGGAGAGGCATGGGAGAGGCGAATCGACGAAGCCTCGGAGACGCCCGCCTCCCTGCACCTCCTCAACCGGCAGCTCACCAAAACACCACCTCCGGTTTGCCCACTTGTGGACAACACGGGAAAAAGGATCTATGACGCCCAACAAAGGGCGGAAATGATGGCACAACACCTCCAATCACAGTTCACTCCCAACCCCATTGCAGAGGGGTACGCGGAGCACACCACGAAGGTGGAGAACCGCGTACGGGAATACCTGTCGCACCCGGCACCACCACTACGAGGAGAAGACTTCATTTCACCTGCGGAGGTAAGACGCGCCATCATGCGTCTACCTAGCCGCAAAGCACCGGGTTGCGACGGGATTAACACCATGGCCTTAAAGCAGCTGCCCAGAAGAGGAGTCGTGGAAGTGGCTAGACTTTTCAACGGCGTACTAAGAACTGGCTACTTCCCTACAAACTGGAAACAGGGCAAGATAGTCGTGCTACCAAATCCGGGTAAGGATAGGAGGTACCCGGCTAGCTACCGCCCCATAACGCTATTGCCGCACATTGCCAAACTTTTTGAGAAAATTACCCTCCAGCGCAGCCTACCGCACATTACTCTGCGGGAGGAACAATTTGGATTCCGCAGAGCACATTCAACCACAGCCCAACTGGCCCGCGTGCTGCACTACCTGGTGGCCGAGTACAACCGCGGCCGCATCAGCGTGGGGGTCTTCCTAGATATGGAGAAGGCCTTCGACAGAGTGTGGCACGCAGGGCTACTGCACAAACTAATAGAAACTACCACCTTTTTAACAGTGGTAGAGCCACGCGGCAGCTTTGCTGTCGCACGTATGGGCCGGCTCAAACCGAGGTGGTACCACGACCTCACAGAATACCGGCGTGAAGTGGAAGCTCTGCTTCCGCGTTTCGTCTGGTGAGTGCAGGTGGCCGGAGGCCCAAATCCCCCCCCCCCATCAACATGGTAGCGGAATTAAATGATAGACTACCCCAGGAGGGTACCAGCACCCCTGGAGAATCCCTCGCTGAGCATCCACGACCATGTTTCTCCACTTCTGAGCGTGGGTGCTCAGGCTGCCCCGCGTATTCTGGGGGGGGGGGCAATATTCCGCTCAAGACTAAAACTGCTCGGGGCAAACGGAGCAGCAAGACCAAGGCGACCCCTGCCACGCTGTCCGTGAATTTCTGCAATATCAGGGGACTTCACTCTAACCTAAACGCCGTCCACTACCATCTCGAGACGGCGAGGCCGGCTCTGCTCTTTCTGACCGAGACGCAGGTGTCCTCTCCGGCTGATGTCTCGTATCTCTCCTGCCCGGGGTACAAACTGGAACACTCCTTTGTGCCTCGGGCTGGAGTTTGCGTTTACGTCAGAGAGGACATCTGTTCTCGACGCCTCGGCAGACTTGAAGGTTCGGACCTGTCCATCCTTTGGCTACGCGTAGACAGCGACGACCATCCGCGCGTCTACGGGTGCCTCTATAGGTCCCATAGCGGTAATGCCGAAACAGACCGACTCTTCGACCACGTCCAAATGGCTGCAGATTCGTTGCTACAGCAGATCCCCTCCGCAGAGATCGTGATCCTCGGCGACTTTAACGCCCATCACGCCGAATGGCTCGGTTCACGTTTAACCGATCATGCGGGGAGATCTGTTCATGATTTTGCCTTGGCATATGGTCTGACACAACTGGTTACTTCGCCTACGCGGATTCCAGATGTGGAGGATCATGCACCTTCCCTGTTGGACCTTCTGCTGACCTCTCACCCGGACGGATATCAGATTTCCGTTGACGCCCCTTTAGGCTCCTCGGACCATTGTCTTGTCCGGAGTGTGGTGCCACTCACGCTGAAATCGCGGTTGCATTCTGCAGGCTGCCGCCGTGTTTGGCACTATAGGTCAGCCGATTGGGATGGGATGCGGTCTTTCTTTGCATCCTACCCTTGGGGGCGGGTTTGCTTCTCGCCGGATGATCCCAACGTTGTTGCGGATTCTGTCGCTGATGTGGTACTTCAGGGTATGGAACTTTTTATTCCTTCCTCTGTGGTGCCCATTGGAGGCAAATCTCAGCCATGGTTTGGTCGCTCCTGTAAAATAGCATCATGCTATAAGCAGGAGTGCTACCGAGCCTGGGCTGACGCATCAGCGTCCAGGGATGTAAACACCAGCGCTCTAAAAAAGAAGTATAATTCCGCCTCTAGGTCCTTCAAAAGAGTCATTGCCAAGGCAAAGTCAGAGCACATAGGCAGAATTGGCGAGAGACTAGTTCGTCTTCCTTCTGGAACCCGTGCATTCTGGTCTCTCGCCAAGGCTGTCCAAGGGAATTTCTGTCAGCCATCTCTTCCATCTCTGCACAGGGAGGATGACTCACTGGCCCACACCGCAAAGGAGAAAGCCGATCTTCTAGGCTCTTTCTTTGCGTCTAACTCGACTCTCGATGACGGGGGGGAGTACGCCGCCGACCATCCCGCGGTGTGAGTGCTCCATGCCGGAAGTGCAGTTCACTCAGCGCTCGGTTCGCAAAGCACTCCTCTCCCTGGACATCCATAAGTCGAGTGGGCCTGATGGAATCCCCCCAATTGTGCTGAGGACGTGTGCTCCAGAGTTGGCACCGGTTTTAACGCGTCTTTTCCGGTACTCCTACTCCCTAGGCGTAGTCCCAAAATCATGGAAGACGGCTTTCGTCCACCCGATCCCTAAAAAAGGCGACCGCTCAGACCCGTCCAACTACCGGCCTATCGCCCTCACCTCCTTGTTCTCCAAAACAATGGAGTCCATTGTAAACTGCCAGCTCATGAGGTACCTTGAGGATCACCAGCTGATTAGTGACCGCCAATACGGTTTTCGCCGTGGTAGGTCAGCTGGTGATCTTCTGGTCTACCTAACTCACAGATGGGCGGAGGCAGTAGAGTCCAAGGTGGAGGCATTGGCCGTTAGTTTGGACATTGCGAAGGCCTTCGATCGGGTTTGGCACAAAGCGCTTCTTTCGAAGCTCCCTTCCTATGGGCTTCCCGAGAAATTGTGCGATTGGATCACCAGTTTTCTTGCAGATCGGAGCATCAAGGTCGTTGTAGACGGTGCAAGCTCCGATTGCAAGCTTATTAATGCTGGTGTTCCACAGGGCTGCGTGCTATCGCCAACGCTGTTTCTTCTGCATATCAATGATATGTTGCAAACCCGTAGCATTCATTGCTATGCAGATGACAGCACTGGTGATGCTCTTTACACCGGCCGAGCCAATATTTCTCGGGAAAACGTCTCTGAGTGCCGGGACAAACTTGTGTCTGAAGTCGAGTCTCTGCTGGACAGAGTCTCGGATTGGGGGCGACTAAATCTAGTCCAGTTTAACCCCCAGAAGACACAAGTTTGCGCGTTAACCGCTAAAAAAGAACCCCTTTGTCGTATCCCCTCAGTTTCAAGGCACTCCCCTTGTTGCCTCAGCCAGTATCGGAATCCTCGGCGTCGACATATCGAGTGACGTGCAGTTTCGTGGTCACTTGGAAGGGAAGGCCAAATTGGCCTCTAAAAAGCTTGGCGTGCTCAGCAGAGCGGGACAGTATTTCATGCCGGCACACCGCCTGCAACTTTACAAGGCGCAGGTTCGGCCGCTCATGGAATACTGTTCCCATCTCTGGGCTGGGGCTCCCCAGTACCAGCTCCTTCCACTTGACCGCATCCAGCGCAGAGCGGCTCGAATCGTTGACGACCGAGTGCTTTCCGATCGGCTCGATTCACTGGCGCTGCGAAGAGATGTTGCATCTCTTTGCGTATTTTATCGCATCTATCACGGGGAGTGCTCTGAGGAATTGTTCGGATTAATCCCAGCCGCCAAATTTCGTGAACGCACTACACGGCAAACGTCCCGATACCATCCACACCATCTGGATGCTTGGCGGTCCACCACTGTACGTTTCAAAAGGAGTTTTCTTCCGCGTACAACCTCTCTGTGGAATAATTTACCACCGGTGATTTTTCCGGACCGATACGACCTGGGGACCTTCAAGAAAAGAGCTTACTCCTTTCTAAAGGGCCGGCAACGCACCTGCAATTCCCCTGGTGTTGCGGTTGATCATGGGCGGCGGTAGTCATTTAACATCAGGTGAGCCACATGCTCGTTTGCCCCCTCTTCTATAAAAAAAAAAAAAAAAAAAAAAACCTTGCCACCAATGCTTGTGCGGCTAATAGCGTCATTCCTGGAGGGGCGGAGCTTCTACGTCAACATCGAGGAGGCTGTATCGGTAGCACGACCGATTGAAGCGGGAGTGCCGCAGGGCAGCTGCCTATCACCCCACCTGTACGCGGTATACACCAATGATATCCCCACACTCCATGACCACCTGGAGGAATGGGAAAACGATGTTGTGCTCGCGTTATACGCAGACGACAGTGCGTACTTCACGTCATCTCGTCGGGTAGAACTCGCGGCTAGGAAGCTGCAGAGACTGCTGGACTTGCTGCCTGACTGGCTGGACAAATGGAGGATGGCGGTCAATGTCGGGAAGACCGCCGCCTTCGCGACCAGGCTGAGACGCACCCTACCAACCTTGCGACTCCGTGGGCAAGACGTAGGTTGGAAAGGTACTACCACCTACCTAGGATGCCAGATAGATCGCTCGTTGCGGATGACTCCAATGGTCAACCACGTAGTGGTACAGGCCAGAGCCGCACGAGCAAAGCTCTATCCCATACTGGCATCCTCACTCCCGTTAAAAACGAAAATAGCCATTTACAAAACCTACGTCCGCTCACGGCTAACCTACGCAGCGCCAGCCTGGTACGCGCTAATATCGACCACACAGCGCAGGAGGCTGCAGGCCCAGCAGAATCTTGCGCACCGGACGATCGTGGGAGCAGGCCGCTACGTAAGAAATGACCTCATAGCCAGAAACCTCAAAATAGAGCCCATCCATGAATTTGTGACCCGTACTGCGAGACGGTTGTTCGACCGCGCAGATAACGGGCCACATCTAAACAACCTGGCACCCCTACATGCACGCCCGCCTGATGGGCGGCCACTCCCACGAGAAATCCTACTCTCACCGCCCGGCGAGGGAGCCGCCGGGGACGAGTGAGCAAACCCGAAACCCGGCCTGATGACGTGAATGTGCGCAACACTCCAACCCACAAGATGCGTAGCAGCACCCAAAACCGGGGGAGCCGTGTCCCCCCGCGATGACTCCCGGGAAATGAGGGCCTCCTCGAACCCGAAAACCTCCGTAAGGAGATGACATACTACTATACAAATCCCATAGTTCGCCGCGAACCGTGCTACCGAACAGACGTGCCTTAATCGCGCTCCCGTGCTGTGTTAAGTGTACGTACTGTGAAGTTTACGTGTTGCCAGTTGACGATTCCGCTAAACGTTGAGCTCGCTCCGTGAAGCGTTGAGCCGTCACTGGCATTCTTCGCGTCGAATTATAAGGTAAGAGAGCACAAAGATCTCAACCTTTGTTGCCGTTATTTTTGTGCAATCTACCCACTTTGCTATCAACTTTTATTCTTTTTAAAAGTGTTTTTAGCAAGCCTCTGTTAACGCCCAATCCATCTGCGCCTCACACACCCCTCCCCGCTCGCGGGCGCCTCGCTGGGCCTCCCCCACGGGTCTCACCTGGTGTGGTTGCACGCGCCGAGGGGAGTAAGGTGTGTGATAGCTAGCAAGGGCAAAGTTTTTATCTCCTACCAACTTTTTAAAAAAGTTTTAAATTTTTAAACCTACCCTTATTTTATAAACCTTTTTTATAACTACCCTTTTTTAATACCGAAACTACCCACGTTATGTCGAAAAGGGGAACCACCCCCGACTCAACGTAAGCCACCTGACAAACGACCGAGTATACTAGACAGGCCACTCATGGAGCGTAACCTCTTCGCTCCGGAGAAGTCAAGGGTACTGCCTGCATATAACCAAATGTCGAAAGGTAAAAGAGGTCCATCAGCGTCGCACCTGGCGCTAGTGGAGCTGAACCTCCAACCAACACCGAACCGGCACGACAACCTCGCCGAAACATCGCCTCGAGAAAACGCACCCCCCCAAAAATGGAAGAGGAAGACCTGCAGGAAAAGAAAAGGCTGAAGGCCAATTCGGACACGATACCAGAGTCGACATCAGCCCCAACTGTGGGAGTTACAGTGGGGTACACACCTCGAAAAGCTCACCTACTCCACCACAAAAGCAGCCGGTGACGAGACACAACTCGCACCCAGAATCACCATCTCCCACTACCTCCCCGACCTGCATGCAATATGAGATGCAAGATCTCGGGGAACAGGACCCAAAAGATAAGGAAATTACATCTAACCCCACTCCTGGACCATCCTCGGCGCCAGACAGCTATGCACGGATAGCTGCCGCGCCTAGAACAACCCCACCTTCACCTCCACCTGCTGCAAGGCCACAGCAGCCTGCAGCAGTACAAACAAAATACCCCCCTATAATAGTAGAATGCTTCCCAAACTGGGCGAGGCATTTCAAAATACTACACCAACTTCTCGGCCATGCTCCAAATGCCCGCCCATTTGGGAAAGAAGTCAGATTCCGACCACAATCAGACATCGAATACCGAATCACCCAAAAATACCTAATCGAGCGTAGCAAAGAGGACGCCACCTTTGCGTGGTACTGCTACGCTCCTCAAGAAGAACAGCCAACGAAGGTGAGGCTCAGAGGGCTCCCAGCAGACACCTAGCCACAGGACATAATGGAGGGGGTGCGAAGTCAGAAGTCCTCCACGTGTGCCTGGTAGTTGCGGGTCCCTCTCGATACGTCTGGAGGGAAGAGCAGCTACTGGGCCGGTGCACCCTGGGCGCGGCGGTAATCTTCCTCGAGAAATGAGAAGAAATTCTTATTCCTTGGGGAATGTTGCTGCCGCGGCTAATTATTCTGACATTAGTGGGGTCCGTCCCGGACCAACAGTGCGTTCCTCTGCGTGACCCTCTGATCAGCAGAGAGCATAGCAGAGGAGTGAGGGCGGGCTCGGTGTGCACTTACCCTGCCTCCGGGCAGACAGTGAAGGATTCATCCTTTGCTTTCACCGCCGGTCTCCTAATCCCAGTATCGAAGTGTCGTGGATCATGTCTCGCGGCTTTGATAGGGACCGGGGGTCTTGGCTTAATCGCCCGGACCGCGAGGGAGAAAACCTCTATAAAAAGTTACTCCGAATCCCAAGCGGCGACGCACCGCGAGGGGATGGATGGCTGACGGGGTTCTATGAACAAATCAGCCGCTAGTGCGCTTCTCGCCAGGGTACCTGCAGACTCCCTGGCGAGTAATAAATCCTCTAAATCTGCTTACCTTGGTACAGGGGTCTCTGCCAAGGTGGACCTTTAATTCCCCCATACTCGTGGGTACAAAATGGAAAAAAACCAAAACAAAAAAACCAAAATCGCCGGCAACGGCAACGTAGAGGAGAGGAGGAACGATGCGGGGACAGAGTCCGACGTCGCATCGAGCAGCGTGGGAGGCTCAGAGAGCTCCCGACGCGTGGGGCCTGGGATCGCGGAGACCAGTAAGTTTTTCCGCAAGCGGTCCAGGCGGGATGGCGACCAGGGGCCGTCATCCGGTAAAGAGGTTCGCGACCCCACAGGGGGGGCCTCTATAGCGGGGGGTTAGTCACGGTGGACGCCATCATGCGCGTGATTGCCGAAACCCGGGAAGGACAGGCGTAGAGCTGCCAGCTGCAGGCCGATCACGCTATTACCGCACATAGCTAAACTACTGGAAAGATTGCTGCTAAGACGTCTCCGTCCGTACATCCAACTTCGGGCGGAGCAGCACGGATTCAGGAGGGGTCACTCTACAGTCACACAGTTGACTAGAGTGCTGCACCTGCTTGCGGCAGAGTACAATCGTGGCCGCATATCGTTGGGCGTCTTTTTCGACATCCAGAAGGCGTTCGACAGGGTGTGGCACTCAGGATTGCTTTACAAGCTGTACGAACAGATCAGTGTCCCATTTGCTATGTTGCGGCCAGTGGCGTCTTTCCTGAAAGACAGGAAGTTCTACGTCTGCGTAGAGGACGCCGAGTCCGCAACCAGATCCATCAGAGCCGGCGTTCCACAAGGCAGCTGTTTGTCTCCAGTCCTGTACGCGGCTTATACTAACGATATCCCAACACTGGCAGGCAGGCTGCAAGAGTGGGAGGACGACGTTGAGCTGGCACTATTTGCGGACGATAGCGCCTATTTCACCTCGTCCAGAAGAGCCCACATAGCCACTGCCAGGATGCAGCGTCTGCTGGACCTGTTGCCACCATGGCTGGACGAGTGGAGGATGGTCGTCAACGTTGGTAAGACGACCGCTCTGCTCACTTGCCATCTCAGGAAATTACCACCTCCGCTGATCCTCAATGGCCAGGAGATCGCGTACCAGAAGGCAGTGACTTAACTTGGGTGCCAGATCGACAGGACGCTGCGCATGACCGCGCACGTCGACTTCGTCGTCCGCAGAGCCCGATGTGCGCGGGCGACGCTCTTGCCAGTCCTGGCATCCAAGCTGCCAATCAAAACCAAGCTCCGGATATACAAGATGTATATCCGGACCATCATCATCTACGCTGCACCGGCCTGGTACGCGCTTTTGAGCGACCCTCTGAGGCGGCGACTGCAGGCTCAGCAGAATCTGACATTAAGGACGATCGTCGGAGCAGGTCGCTACGTCCGTAATGACGTCATAGCGGCCAATCTGAAAATCGAGACCATCACTGACTTTGTGGAACGGATGGCGCGCGCATGTTTGACCGCGCCGACAACGGGCCACATGAATTCCAAGAGAACTCCTCTCTATAGCGATTAGAGAGTCGAGTAACAACCCTCAATGCCGCTGATAGGCCAACTTCAACTTTTAACCTCCTTTTTTCCCGTAGTCGGTTAACTACGGGAAAATAAATTTTAATACTACGGAAAGTCACTCCGTGTTCACCTAGCCTAATATAGGCTCCCAGGACTGGCCCATAGTCGTGGGCCATAAGGGGAAATTCCGGGCAATGGGGGCATACCCCGAGGCCCGAGACCTGCAGGACTCCATAGTCCATGCAGATGACACAGCGCGTACAAATCGTTCGGGACCAGCTAACAGTATATAATATAATCAACAAAGAAAAGTATATAGGGAAAGTAATTACTCTCTCACGGAACGGTTTGAAGATAATTACTGTGTTATTCCCAAGGGATCTTTCACCTTTAAAATAAGTACAGTTCATTGGTGTAGCTAGCGCGGCACATATTGAAGAATTAAGGCGTTGGGACCGGGACGACCTCGGAAGACCCGTAAACCCCGCCTAAACCTATTTGAAGAATAAGAAGAGGTCGACGCCCTTGTGTGTTACTCCGTTGCGGGGTTCACATACGTTGTTCCCGAACCCAAAGTAGGTGTCATAGGAGGTTAGGGAATCCGCTGCTGAACGAGCCGTGACAAAGACCCTTCCCTCGTTCCTGTCTTTTTCAATTGCTCCTTCGCAGCCGGATCAAGTAGCAAGTGACTCCTCGTTCCTGACCTTTTTCACGAATGTTAGACCTGTCTCCGGAAGGCAGGGAGATATTCAATAACCAACGTATCTGCAACCTAACTGGGATTGTGGAGACGTGTCTTGAAGTTTTACAGTGGTATGCTAAGGTTTGGATATAATTTTATTAATTATGGGATCCCAAGCAACTGCTGTGCATTGTAGTACCCAGCCATCTTCTCCATTGAAATTCGATAATAACAACATGTACCAAACCAATAAAGTTGTATGGGTTACCCAAATTACACAAACCGAACGCTTCACTGCGTCCCAAAGTGAGCCAAATTTATTCACCAACATATAAATTGGCTCAACACTTAGCACATATACTGTCACCACTGAGAGGACATATAAGAGCACATACAAAGGATTTACACAATTTTGTCAGTGAGTTAATAGACCTACGTCTTGCCGACAGTGAAAAAATCGTTAGTTTTGACGTCCAATCACTTTCTACATGCATGGTTTCGCTTATGGAGAATCCAAGTGAACCCTCAAAAAAGTGTAGCAATACACTTTCAAAGGAAACCCTCTCTCAATCGTCGCAACTTAAATCCGAAGAACTCTCTAGACATGATCACCCTATTCGGCTACCAGATCGCGTGGCGAACAACCGCCAAATACTTTGGGGAAACATTCGAAAACGCCATGACCTTCGCGAAACACATTCGTACGGTCCGAAATCGTACCCAATTCGTCACTAGTCGCCTCCAGCCGCTTATTAACAACAAGCGCAAACTGTCCCCAAAACACAAACTCCACCAGTAAAAAGCTTGCGTAAGATCTATCATGTCATACTAATATACAAGCTCACAACAATATAAAGCTTCGCCCGAACTGCAGTATCAGGGAGACTTGCAAAAACAGAAGGTTAGTTTCATAATAATAAATAATTATAGGGATTGTAATAAGTATATCAATTTTATCTCAAGCGAGAGCCCGCAGTTTTGAGTATGAATACTGACCTATATATAGCTAAAGTCATTTTATCCAACAAAAATTGATTGACTCTCCAGATGGTATTTCAAATAGACGCCACAAGGTTTAAAACCAACTAAATTGAAATAAATCGGTAAGTGGAAATCGTGAAATCGTGGATTGTTACGGACGAATTGTCCATGATAATTTAAACATAACGGTTTATTTTATTTATTGAGAGTGGTATTGTGACTATATCTAAAACTTTTCTTTGTATAGTAATTTTTTAAGCAGTCGGATTTTTTCAGTTGCCGTTTTAATCTTGCGACTTGTCCATTAAACAAAGCTATTTCATTAGTAATGACAAAATACATATTAAGGTTTTTAAATGCTATTAGAATTTTCGATCAACATATACCTTTTATACGAACACTAGTTCGGTATAAAATTATTGAACCGATAAAATTTAGAAACAATTTCACCCGTTATGACAACAAATAGGGTTTGAAATTCAATTGTTTCTATTTATATGATCGCAGCCGTAAGACCAAGCAGTCACTATCATAACTTACCTACGTCATCGTTTCTCAACATTTTCTTAACCCTCGAACTGACCCATCCATGTCAAACAAACCCTATTCTTGAAACTTCATCT